CTTGGTTTGATTGCGCTCAGTGGGGACTGTACTGAAGTTTGAATGCTTGGTATATTAGTGTTACAACTGGAGTTGAATTTTCGTTGGCTGAAGAAAAGAAAACAATGAGATATCATTTTACTCCTCCTGCTCTGGCGAGTCAGGGTCATATTTTTAATCACTATTTAAGGTCGAATGTTTCCTGCCAGTAACACCTGGTGACCAGCAGGCAATTCATGGATATATCTTACCATTAGACTACATGAGGCCAAAGCTGTTAAGTTCACTAGATTTTTCGTAACAGAATGAGAAGGAATCAGAAATTCTCAAATAAGAATGGTAAGAACGATGAAAGCTTTCTGTCAGATTGCCAAACAGCCAACAACTTCCCATTAGAATATCTAGTTTTCAGTAGTAGAGCAACTCTGATGCGTGAAAGCGTGAACATGTACTGAAGATGAGGGAAGTAGAATCTAAGTTCAACCGGACACAAACGTACGCATTCACCTCAACAAACTATGGAAGACTTAGAAACTTCCCACCAACTCTCACATTACACACAACCAGCACAACGATGCAACACATGCGTAGAACAACTGACAATTGATATACCATATTTTCTTTCTTCACTCGTGTGAGCTCCTCCTTTAAACGTCTATATGTTGCCCTTTGAGCCTCGATTTCTGGTAGAAGTTAGCTCACGTCTGCCTTGTCGCGCCTCGATTGGCTTCATTCACACAATGCTTGATCCTTTCAAGTCGACTATCATGTCCCTAGCTTGATTTGGTGTCTTCTGATCAACCCACAACTTACCACAGGTCCCCAACCATGAAACCAATTCCTACAATTTTCCTTGTCTTTGCGATGAGAATTGCTGATTTAAGACCACATAGCAGTTAAGCTCTGAGTTGACCTCATTAGGAATTACACCACTTGATTTAGACGTTGGCGCCCTCAATCTTCTGGCTGCCATTCTTCGATTTGGCAATTGAATGTTCTACTAAATGCAACAGAAGCGACAGATGAATGCGACAGAAGAAACATATGTTGACTATCAAGGTTATATCATGATTCTACTAGGAGCTTCTTCTCTATAACATCAATGCAAAGCAAAAAGAAAAGCATCCGTATGAAATAAAAGTGGGCTTTGTTGTTGCGAGAAGAATAATGAATTCACAGACATTACCACGTATAGCCTGATCACAGGAGCATCGAAGGAATTGGTGACATTTAAGAGCAAAGTGTTAGCCACGTTACAACTCAAGTCATGCAAAGGTAAAGTGTAACTCCCGTTTTGGACTATAATAATGCTACGAAGAGAATGGTCGTCCCAGAACCTTCACATCTTGCAACACTTTGAAAATCGGGAAAATTGTCTAAAAAGACCTAAACCTATTGCAACACTTCAACGAGGCCTAGCGGTGACCAGCAGAGGGAAAAAGAAAAAGAAAAGAAAAAAAGGAAAGAAAAGGAAAAAAGAAAAGAAATAAAAAATGTATAAAAAATTTAAGAAATATATTAAAATATTATTAAAAATTGTTCACGTTAACGCTGGCTATGTCACGTAGAACGGCCAGCATCAATGTTAGGATTTCCCACCAAAATTAGCCGGCTGGACTCAATTGTAAATTGTCAAAAGATTTAGGACTCAATTGACAAAATTGAAAAGTTTATGACTGAATTGGCAAAAGTACGATGATTGCAATTAGAGATCATGATGCCAATGGAAGGGTACCCATTGCACAGGATGCTCACTGAGGACCGAGTCTTGCTATTCGAGACCAATGACCGAACAACAGCAGCCGCTTCCAGTAGAATGAACAAAGAAGGAAAGGAGATATAGGCAGGTCGGAAAAACGAGTTACATCTCCTCACACCAAGTCTCAAACATTGACTTCACTCCCAAACTTCAGACTATTCAATCCACAAGCGAAAACACCTCAAATGAGTTCACATACCTCCATCGGAACGAAAGCAAAATACAAAAAAGGGGATTAAGCTCGATGGAGTGGCTTATGACACCTTTTACTCTGTCGGGCTTGGTCGAAGAGGACTTGACGTCGTCAGCCTCATCAAGCTCTTGTGCGAGGACTCGACGTCGTCGTGCTCGAACGAAGAGGAAATTTGGGGATTCGACGAAGAAGAAGGACATTCGGACGAAGAACAGGAGGATCGACGAATAAGATGCGGATTCCACGAACAAGGACACTTCGGACGAAAGACAGATGAAGAAGTGAAGAAAACTCGAGAAGAAAACTCAATTGGGGCTTGGAAATTTGGGGCAAACCTTAAACAACCATGTTTTTACAAACAAACCTTTTCTTGGGATATATGCTCTAGAAGTCCTAAAACTTATTGTAAAAGTGCAATTGAATCCTAAAACTTTCAAAAAAGTACAATTAAGTTCTAAAATCTATCAAATTAGTGCAATCAAGTTCTTCTGTTAACACCATTAGTTTGGCTGATAGAAAATGCTGGAGTTGCATTTTTAAAATTATTTGCTCTCTTCTACTTGTCAAATTTATTATTATTTCTTTAAATATTATTTAAATTAGATTAAAAAACTAAAAAAGTTAAAATTTTATATGAAAAAAAATAAAACTAGAAAAAGAGAAAACCAAAGGCGGAGCCCTCTTCAGTGGGCACTGCTGGAGGGTCCAGCGGCGATCATCGACCCCAGGCGAGGGTGGCTAGCTAAGCCCAGATCTGGGTGAGCCTCACCGCCCCTCGCTTAGGGATAGCGAGTCAGCCACCCTTGCCCTGGACGACACCGGCCGTCGCCTGGGGTTGGCGACCATCGCTAGGTCGAGGCATTTTTAAAGCAACTGGTACGCTCAGATCAACGTGTAGCGCCATTGTCTTATCTCGCGCTCCAAAGGACCCTCTGAGATTGATCTTACTCAACTTACCGAGGAGACAATCGAAGGAACTACCAGCCAGAGCATCCCTTCATCACCACGAATGGAAGAAATAGGAGGATTCGCCACTGGCAGTGCCGTGCAGCCATCCACTATTGAAGGTAGAACTCCATCTACAACGACACCATAATCAAGGCTTCAACCAACGAAGCAAATATCAAGAGATAGTGCTCCATCAGGATTAACACAAAAAATTCAGGAGAATGTCAGCATTGTCAAGTCTACAACCATTGCAAGAGAACAACAAGAGAAGACTGTGCAAATGACTGCTAGACTAAAATTTGCTCAAGCAAAGGGAGCTCCACCCCAAGTGAATTGGGACAGTTTGCAAGTTCTCCTTAGCGAGCTTATTAAAGAAAGAGGGCTGTCTATTGTTGCTTTTGCTTATGTCATGCTCCTGTTACCACAATCATTGCTTCTACTAAGGACGCTCCTGCTCCTATGGCTGAACAACTGGACCAGCCTCTCCATCAAAAGGGAAGAAGAAAGTCGTAGGTGAGGAACAAAGCCAAATCCCAACAGAAATGACCGATCAAATGACTTCGCCAGTTGAACCAGAACGTATCACTACAAAACGTGAGGAAGCAACCACCGAACCAGAAGAACCACCTATTCAAACTGAAGGAATTCAAATCAAAAAAAGGAAGGATGATAATGATCGAGTATACTTCTATTTTTAACCTAGTGTCTGTTTCACTCGGGATCCCTCATTCAATTCCTCTCTCTTTTTCTCACCTAATCATGAATATGCATTTAATGCGTTACTCTCTCGTCAGCCTCTCTCTCATCGTTTTGTTGATTTCAAATATCTTGACTCCCACGGAATCTTTGTACTGAGACTCTTTGAAAAGCTTGATTAGACTTCTTTTGCACTTTGAAAGAGGAAGTTTTCCCTGATGTCGTGGCGATGTTCTATGCAAATCTCCACTTTCCTGATCACGACAGCTTCATCTTCTCCTTTGCAAAAGAAGACTTCACTGTAACTGTTGAGGAACTGACTGAAACCATCCAGGTTCCCTTTCGTAACTTCAAGAAAATTCCAGTGAGCTAAACTGATGCTTACACTTTTGTGATTGAGGATTCTAAATTGATTCGAGCATACAAAACTCATGTCCCGCTCAATATATTTCCCTTGAAAATCAATTTCATTTAGAAGATTCTGATCATATGCCTTTGCACAAATCATCATCTACAAACTACATTTCTCGTTATGAGGCACGACTCCTCTAGTCTAACTTAAATGGTGTGAGTTTTTCTCTTCCTCATATGATTTTCTTGCACATATATTATGTTGTGAAAAAGAAAGTTGGAAAGCTATCGTATACAGCCCTCATCACTTTCATCATGTGCTCGAAAGGTATCAACATAATTGATGATTTCAAGATCGAGAGAATGGTGAATCTTGAAATCTGCAAGGAGACCCTCAAGAAAATGATGCTAAGAATGACACTAAAAGGATGGGTAAACACACGAAATGAGATTGTCCTGATTAGACATGGAGATGATAGGCTTCTCGGCAAGTATTGAAGGAAAGTCTCGAGGAAGGAGCCGAGAAGGAAAAGGAAAGAAAGAAGAAGCGGAAAGCGCTTATGCCTGTCCAGAAGCAATCAACTGCTCACCCCAGGTCAAAAATGAGATTATTAGTGAAATTCAACTCGTGTTGATGTTGTTGCCTAAAGAGTGGATGTAAGTTTGGGAATAAAATCAAACCACTATAAATTGCTGTGTGCTTTATATCTTCAGTTCATTATTATCAGCATTTGCTCATTAGCACCATCTATACATAACATCTGCTAGCATCTTTCGTTTATAACTGTCATAATTTGTTTCTAGTGTTGGTGAGTTATATTCCGCAAATTTTTTTCATAATCCGCATATAACCTATTCACCTCCCATCTAAGTTGTCTCTGTTAGCCCCAACACTAGAGACCATGACACTATGGAGGAGGAACAAGTTATCACAGTGAGGGAACGATTCAGGTAGAACCAAGTCGGGTCAGGTGTTGATAAGTGATTTTCGTGGTCAGCGTCGAGAGCGCAATTCCTATTGGCTCAGTGAGCAAGCACTGAAAGCTTAGAGACGATAGAGAAATGAAGAAGATGAACAATAATAAGAAAAAGGTTAGCTGGAAAAGCACGTCTCGACAGTTGATTGTGTACTTGAACAACGATTAGCTAGTAATTAAGATCAAATATATAGCAAGTACATGTTATGTCTACAATAAATACATTCACCTACTCACTATCATAATGAAGCTGAATCTCACAACACTCCAAGTCTCCTTCACAAAGTCAACCATCGCCATGGCCTCTCTACGTGCCTTGTCCTCCGCGTCGCACCACAATAGGGCCGGTAGGAACAGCCACAATGCTGTCGCGAGGATGAAACTGACTGCCATTGGTCCGGACACCACCCTCGGCAAATGGAACTTGCCGGCAAGCGCTTTCTTAGCGGCAATCTCGATGGCCACGCCGAGGCCGTGCACGAGGAAGAAGGAGGTGACCACCCACCTCGGCTCCTTACGCCCGATGTAGTAGAAAATCAGCTCATGCATGAGCCCAGAGACTAGGAAGCATGCGAATGATGCCGGCAGCGGGGCCCATGTCCTTCCAATCACACAGCTGGAAATGGACCTGGTATAACACAAGAGAATAATGCGTCAAATAATGAATTTTGTTTTTAATTCTAAGTTTGGTACACATATAAAGTCTGGACATTTGACAAATTGCAAGTAAATGGGTCATATTCAAACATCTAATGAGAATTGCTACTTTGCGAGCCATTTTTCGTATGACTTCTTAGTATTCTAGCATTTGTTTTTGGTACGAAGTATAGTCCATTAGATAGTATATAATTGTAATATATAGTTAACCGTTTATGTTTCATGGGTAAGACCTGACTTGCATGTATATAATATACGATAGATTCATTTTATAAATAAATTAGACAGACATCAATATATTATAGTGTAGAAAACATTTGAAACTGTGTGCATTTTTTCCCCGAGTTTGAGTCGAACTTATTCAAAGTCATAAACGTTTAATCCAAACCAGTTAGAGCATCAATGCATTGGATATATAGTAACAGTCAAAGCTAATCGATCCGTATAAAAATGATCCAAAATTGAATTCAATGCAATGATAAATGAAGCATCTTAAAAGAAACTAAAAAAAAAAAAAGACAGTTTCTCACCTGGCAGGTAAATATACGGTAGGGCGGAGTATATTTGTGACCATGAGATTCCATCTCCGCCCCCAAAAGTCCTGTAGTGAGGTTGAGAGGTATGGCTCTTCGAATTGTGGCTCGAGCCTAACACCAATTAGTGCTCGGACCATGGCTCCAACCACGGCGAGGGACACCTCCAACCCGACGTACACGTGCACACAATACATCAAGTTGATCATCACCGGATGAACTCGGTCCTTCCTTTCATAGGCGGGCAAAAAGGCAACTATCACCAAGCACTTGATGACATAATTCATTGGCGACTTGAGGCCTCTCTCGTTGATCTCCGAACATGGGTGTTCTTCATTTTTGGCGCTCTCAATTGGGTTGCGAATCTTGATGGGAAGGCAAGCGATGGGAATGAAGTATGCCAACGAGCAAGATTGGCTTGATGACAATGGGCCTTTGCCATAGGCAAGGAGGATGAGCTTGAAGTTGCAAAGCCAAGCGATGAAGAATGAAGTGAGGCCTCCAAGAGAGATGGTGGTGAGGCTTAGGGGGAGGATGAAGAAGAGGCCAATGACCGGTGAAATGGCCAAGAGCCTCTTGGTTCCACTAGGGACGGTTTGACAGATGGTGTGGCAATAGGTGAGCGATATCACCGCCAAGGTCCATACCATGACGAAGTTGCTGATCTCTCCCTCCATGTTTGGTCACTAGAGGCACACACTTGCAGTAGCGAAGCTTGTTTAAATGGTTATGTTGTACAAGTGAAGTCGGGTCATATAATTGAACTCTAGCTCTCTCTGTGTTTGACAGACTAGTCTTAAATTTGCATTTATAGGAAGTTCTTCGGAGGGTCGATGTGGGTCATGTTTTGAAGAACCGGGAATTAAATTACCAAAAATAAATAAATTCATGTATATGTTGGCAGTCCAGCTATTCTATTTCTTAGTCAGTGTCGGTCATAATGGGAAAGAAATAGTGCGCGGTACTGCAGGATCGACCTTTTCTTCTTGCTAACGCGGTGTGCGGTGACAGGGAGTCATTGATTTTGAATAGTTGCCGATTTTGACTCAGTTAATCGCATAATACCTCTGATAAAAAAAATAATTGCGTAATACCATACTGATAACCTCCAGCATAACCAGTGTAACTAGGGACGTGGATCTTTGGTTGGTCGTTACATTAGTAACCTCACCAAATTAGGGATTGTTTCCATTTAACATGGATTGTCTGTGCCTGTTTATTATTTTAACGTGCGGATGTCGATACACTCTACTTCCCCAAACCCCCTATATGCCTGTCTTCCCCAAGAGGAGAGAATACTCTCTGTATGTTTTATGTGCAAGGGAAACCGAGATTAGCATGAGGTTCCGGACGAAATAGTTTTACCTCTTGCTTAGGATAGCATGAGGTTCCGGACGAAATAGTTTTATCTCTTGCTTAGGAGGAAGTATTATTATAATTATTAGTACAAAATCTGTTGTTTTGTTATCATATATGCATGCAATCGAATTTAATTGGCTCATGAAAAGTCCCATGTAGAGTATAGATATCGACCTCCTCACACCCCAAATGGGTCTATCGACTCTATAAATGATTATTTATTGTTTATTTCTTGGGGGAATGAAGTCGTCCCCAATTTGCGGGGTCTTCGGTTGTCAGCTTGCGGGAGGTTTTTTCTTCAACAATGTCAAGTCGACTGTCGTCAACAGCTGACTTTTCTATGTTTACGTCTTCGTAAATAACTTCAGCAGATTCAGAACTGCCAAAATCCAAGGGCAAAGATCAAGAGACTCCAGTCAAATTTGGTGACAGACCTAGACCACACACACGTATTTTTAAAGTCATCCTAAGAGAAAAGTCGTTGAGGCATATTCATGAGCCAACAACATTGGAATAACTACTACCACGGATGTTCCAGAAGAATTGCTCCCAATGCGTTTTAAACATGACTTCTTAGGGGAAAATAAGCATGAACAGTTTTATACATTCCATATAATTGCCTTTTTATACATGTCAACCATTTACTGAATATGAAAAAGATGAGATGTAGTCACAAGAATAAAAAATTTAGTGAACTCATACTTATTTCCTCATACTTACTTCACAGTTTCAAGGCATTGAAACCTGCATAGCTTACCATTACTTTTACACTGTCAAAATACACCTTGTGTAATAATAATGCCCAGCCGCCTTGGTCTTTCTCAAGCAATTTGCTAGTTCTCCAGCAATGTGACCCTGACATCCTGGAACAGTGTTATGAATTCACACATTGTGCTTTATGGGTGCACATCATTGGTCTTCCGCTAGGGAGAGTCTCAGAGGAAGTGGTTAGACATATTGCGGAGAAAATAGGCCAGGTGCAACAGGTTAAGTTAGATTCCAAAGGCAACAGCCCCTACAAGACTGGCAAAGCAAGAGTTCATCTAGACTTATCTAACTCTTTGAAGTCTGGTACCATTGCTAACCAGGCCTACAAAAAACTTTGGGTTGGTTTCCGATACGAAAGGCTTCCACACATTAGCTATTCTTGTGGGCGAATTGGACACTATGCTACTTATTGTAAGGAGGTGCCTTATGAAGAGTCAGGAATTGAAGAGAACATAGTTGGCAAGTTTGGCCAATGGCTTAGAGCTTACGTGCGTGAATTCATCCAATTTTGGAAAATTTTCTACAATAAGCAAATACCTACCCCCAAAGATGAAGAAATGGTTCCTGAAACACCAATCCATCAACCTCAAATGATCCATTAGGTAGTCGAGAGGCAAGGGAAAAGAAATTACTCTGCTGTTATCAGAGTACCAACCTGAAGGTGCTTGGCTTTCTGGTGAGGGGTCACTCGATCACAAGGAGGCTCAAGATACTTGGCTCATGTTGGTTGATTCTCCCAATGTTTCTGACTCAAATGAGCAAACTAAAAAAGGCAAGTCGAAATACAAAGTACCAGCGACAAAGAAGCTGAACAGACACAACCCGTATGAGCTCCAGGGCACTCTTGATGAGAAGCAGTTATTAGAGACCCCGATTCAGCTGGTGAAGGATGTAAATGCGTGAATTCATAACCTAAGTTTCTGAGGACCAATGCTCGTTGTGAATTCACCAATTTCCTCTACTATAGCTTACTAATGCTAGCATCCGTGTCTTTCGAGAAGATGAAGAGTTCAGTATTGATTAAAGAGTCGATGCAGTGGTCAAGAGAGCGATCGAAAATTCTATGATGTGTTTTGGAGACTTTTGTGGATAAGATTTTTTAAAGTCCAGAGTGATTATTATAATTCATTAGTAATTTGTTTAATGCTGTTCAATTTGAGGTCAATAATGTGCCTTGGTTTGTGTTGTGAAAGTTGTGTAAAGAGGCTATTCACCTTCAGGGCCAACGGAGTGAAACTATCCTACAAGTTTAGTAGGTTTTTTTGCGGTTGAAAAGCATATATTAATTTTTTTACTTACAGGTTAATGGATTTTTTTAGCGGATATGTTAAATAAACACGAGCAAATTTTCATAGGTTCTTTTTCTATATGAGTTTATGTATGTTTATTGGGGTCTTTTCTTGGGGTCTCTTGTAGAGTTTCCTAGAATTGGAGCGTTACAAATGGTTTCACCCTTTACCTCTTTTATTAGATGACACTTAGAATTTTGTTTGGCTGGCGAAATAGGGTAGGAAATGGAATCACAATGCTTGTACTACTTGTAAAGTTTTGCGGGCTAATCTTTTTTTTGGTCGAAATTGAAGTTCATTCGTTCAACGTCACAGTACCAAGGAACAAGAAGAACACGATTCAAATCATAACAATTCCACAAGGGTTTGGGGGGCTTAGACAGCCAATTAGGGGATAAGGACCCTCTCCGATGGGCTTTCGCAATTCAATCTGTTACTGGGTTGGCTTCGCGGGAGCAGCGGGCGATTGAAACTCCTTATAATTGGGCCAACATTGCCATTGCATTCCTTAAATAAACACCGGGGGGTCCATGGGCTTAGAGACAAGTCTGATATGCACTGTACATATCAGCTTGAAGCCACGCTCAGATCACTTGGAAGACTTCAAAGTCTTCAAGCTTCGTTCCCTCACACAACCGCGACACCACTTCTTTGAGGGCTAGGGTGTTTCCGTGTGCAGAGCAGAGGAGGACACGACCTTCTTCGCGAACCCAGTGATCAACATCCCCCCGGTCGTCCCGAGCGACTCCGGCAACCGACCCCTCGGACGAAGAAAGCCCTTTCCTAGCAGCTACCATGGACAGGGTACGATTCTTTTCGACTTATTCTGAATTTTGCCCTGAAGAGTTCGGTTTGATGGAAATTCTTGCTCAAAATGAAAAGACTGCAGACTAATCTCAACCGTTCTAGAAATTTTAGTTTTTGGAAGAATCTGTGATTTAGTATTTGATTTCATAATACTAATTATAGTACTTGTTTGTATGTGATTTTTTTTTCGACCAAAAAAAAGAATTGACTTTATTCTTTACTTTTTGAATTTTTGGTTTTCTTAAATCTTGCGGATCAAGTTTGTTGATTGTTGATCTTTTCCAGTTTCCTAGATTCACATATAATGTCACGCAATCTTTTAAAAAAATTGAATAGTGTCTTTAATATTGGCAAAATTGAAAAAGGTATATTCTTTGCTTAGAAAATGCATAAAAAAAACGGTTATTGCATAATTGGGACGGTAGCAGATGGCTCATTGGTTTAAATTGAGTTCAATGTGAGGGCAATATTGGAAATGTGCAGTTTCTTTCCAAATTCCTTTAATTAACTAAGCAACAATTAACGAAAGAATAAAATTTCATTTGTTCCGTGGAAAATGAATGATTTGAAAAATATTTTCCTAAAAATGATTGCTTGTATCAATTACAAAAAAAAAATGAAGAGAAAAGATTTTCATCAATATTTAGATATAAATTGTTATCGATAATAAAAACATTTTTATTGACTAATTATTTTGAGCTATAAGTGATCATTTTTAAGAAAATATTTTTTAAATTATTTATTTTCCGTGAAAAAAAACAGATCCTAAATTCATGTCTTTCGAATGTGATAAACAAACAGAAGAAAGTATCCACCCATTTTTCATTTCCTTTGTGCGAAACTTAGCCTTAGAGCGATCCTTGGACTGATATCTGAAGCTTTGAGGGAGTGTGTCTAATAAGTAATAAGATCAGCGGTCTCTTATCATGATGTCCCTTCCACGCAAAGCTAGGCATCGAGTGAGTAAAGAAGGACATCAAGGCTAGAGGGAATCTCGACCAACTTTTCTTCGTCGCCTTACTTTTGTCGGCCATTTAGCCAGAGATTTCTCATAGCTTTCTTATCTCAAAGCTAGAGGGAATCTTGACCAACTTTTCTTTGTTGCCTTACTTTTGTCGGCTATTTAGCCTGAGATTTCTCGTTGCTTTCTGATCTAGGAGGAGCAAGTATTGGGTGAGTGTTACACATACCAAACTGCCTCGGGACGCAAGATTTGGTACGTACAATCTCAAAAAGTCTTCCTAGAATTTTGTAAGTGGAGAAGTATTTCGCAAAAGTAATGTTATATAGTGTTTCATAGCACTGACTTACAAATGAAATGGATCATTGTGTGTTTGAATATAATACGGTCATCTAAATACTTGCTTCTTTTATAGTTATTCTGTGACTGAATTTATATATTAGTCTGCAATAGTATTTCTGATGCTTTTCTCTAATCATTGGTAATCTCACTCATGACATATTCACGCCATATTTTCGCGGTTGAAACCTTCAGTCAGCCAAGGGCAAAGGCCTATCTTGTTCACCCGCGAGGGAGAGAGGGAGAGAGCTGCTAAAGCTAAAGTTCAAATGGAGAGCTAAGAGGCAGGAACATCATCAGGAAGCAAATATCAAGTGTTCCTGAGTTTCAGAGGACCCAACACTCGTAGTGGATTTACCGACTTCCTCTACCATAGCTTGACCGATGCTGGCATCTGTGTCTTCCGAGACGATGAAGAACTCCATGTTGGTGAAAGAATCAATGGAGCGCTCCAAAGAGCAATCAACAACTCTAGGATCTACATCCCCAACTACTCTCGAACCTTTGGTTCGAGCCAATGTTGTCTCTGCAAGCTCGCGCAGATTGTGGAGAACACCTCC